ACAAATTCTAACTCTGCTTTAAGACGCATACCTCAAGGGTTTGCATTTTTCCAAAAATCCCCCCCCCATCTTTCCTACCTCAGTTCTTTAAAGACACACACACACACACACACACACACACACACACGGTTTGCATTAAAAAAAAATTCCCCTCCTTCCCCAGTCTTTCCTACCTCAGTTTTTAAAGCCAGCCTCCCTCCTCCCCCATGGGGAAGAGGGCGGGAAAGACTCTGGAGAGGGAAGTAAGCAAGCGAGAGAGCCAGGCAAAAAGAGACACTTCCATCATGGCCTTTCCGTTTATGACTAGCGCGATAATGAAGGAAGGTAATTCTGAACCCTTTATGGCAGTGTTAACGGTCCCCCAAGCCCTGGGAAAGATAATAGTCAATGGATGGTGTCCATAAGGATTCTTTCCCCTCTCCCCTGACAACCATTGACAGGATCATTTTGTATTTGCAACTGCCACCGCTGAAGCATGCAGACAGGGCCCTGGGAAGGCTGGCTGGAGGAGAGCGGCTTCCCCACCATCACGAGGGTAATAATAGTTACAATCATTTTTATTCGGCTGTTCTATGCAGTGCCTACTTGGTGGCGCTTAAGGCTATGGGATTTGGGTCACATCAAACCGCACCGGCATAAAATGAGGGCGCATTGCAGCCTTGCAAGAGTCTCGCTGAACGCCTCAGAGAGAAGCTGTGAGAGGAAAGAATACCGATGCCAACCCTTGACAAGCACGGGCAGGGACCGCAGTGGCTGTGCACTAAGCGTTGCGCTGCCAATAGCAGAGTTGGCGGTTCAAGCCCACCTGCCGCTCCACGCAGGAAGATGAGGCTGTCTGTCCCCCGGAGAACGTACACCGGAAGGAGTGTGAACATTAACTGCAAATCCGCTTTCTGTAGTCTGGGATAAAACAAACCGGCCCATTCGGACCGACAGCGACCCCCTAGGGCAGGACCCCCCTGGACTGTCCCAGGCTGTAAATCTGTCCCCCAGGGAATGGAGGAGAGGGTCCCACCCTGCCCGCTTCTCCGTTAGCCGCCAGGGCACCGTGCTTTCTCTTTATATTCCACAATGGAATCGAAGGACGGGACCATGAGCTTCCACCGCTCCGCTCGGGCGCTCTGCCTGCAAGTGACCTTCCAGCCGGGCGGTGACCTCCCCGACCCCCACCCACCCCCGTGCCCCTTGCACCCCGCACCTCCCGGGAGGCGCACGTGGGCCCGCCAAGTGCTACGAGGGGTCCGAGACGGGGAGATGAGCGATAGGGCAGAGGAAGCATCGGGGTGTGGCGAGTGGGGTGCAGAAAGGCGGGGAGCCCGGGACAGACGCGGTTAAACTGCTCAGCTGCAGAGCGGAGAGCCGAGCGCACTGCGGCCGGGACTACAGCTCCCAGAAGCACTTGCGCGTCCCCGGGAGCCCATCTCCTAGGCAACCGCGGTAAACAAGATGGCGGCCTCCGGGAGCGGGCCCCGCTGGACCCTGCCGGATTCTCTCCCGGGAAGCAGGAGCGCTTCGCGCCCCGAGACGCCGTCGATCCCGCGGCACTGCGACAATGAGCGTCAGTGTTTCTCGGCGACTTTCCCCTCGGGGCAGAGGACGCATGAGTCCTTCAGCAGAGCCTCCTCCTACCTGCTGCGGGAGCTCATCCAGCGCTACCGGCGGCTGGACGCCGAGGAGGAGGAGGACCACTTCGTGGTGCGGGAGGAGGAGGTCAAGAAGGAACTGGTGGAAGCGGAGTACGAGGAGGAGTCCTCGGATTCCGACATGCAGAATCAGGAGGTGTGCCGCCCACCCCAGATCAGGCCTGCTGCTTGCTTCTGCACCCCCTCCCTGCTCTTACTCTGGGGGGCGCCTCCGCCCCGCGGCTGCTCCGAGGCGCCCTCTCTTCGTCCCCCTCGCGGTTCTCTTCCCCGGTTTCCTCGCCTCCTACCTGAAATGCCTCTAAGCATCTTTCTTCCCCACTCGCATGCTGTGGTTCCTTCGGCCACTCTCAGCGTGGTTCAGAAAAAGAACCATTCTATTTGGGTGGGACGGATAACTTTAACTTAAGAAAAGGTATTTCGTAATTACGCCTTTGGCACCGAAGCCTCCGTCTCCATCCCTCCCACTGTAGACCTCCTTCCCCCAGCCCAAGCGTGCATCCATCGCAAACCTTTTGGGGAGCCGCCAGGGAGGGTGGGGGTGTTACTTTCTGGAAGAATGCTTTAAATGTCGTTTCGCAACCTGAAAGACTGAGAAGTTTTGACAGACCGCTTCCTTAAGGATGCCTCACTACCATCAGGTGGATTCTGACTCCTAGCTAACCTATGAAGACAGGGCAGCGTGGGAAACACACAGGCTCAAACAGCCTGCAAGCTGTGGGAGTGTCCCAGGATGTAGGGAAATGCATTCCAGCGTCCCCATCCCCGGTGCCTGAAGTCCGTTCAACTTCCGCTCTTTCCTATGCCGAGCACCCTCCTGCCCCTCCTCTCAGCCCTTGCTCGCCTCTTGACCCTGCCCACCGTGCCTGCTTCTCTTGGTTCCTAGTAAATAGTGTGCTTCCTTGCAAACGGTCCCATTGTCTTCCTTGGCTTGGCTGCTGGGACGCCAGAGCCAAGGGCTTGCCTTCATTTCCAGGGGTTTTTTCTAGGCTAGGCTTCTCGCTCCCCTTCCCTCTGCCCTCAGAGTGGGTAGATGTTGCCTCAAATTCTTTTGAGGAATCAGTCGTGTAGGCCTGGCGCAGGTACGGGGTGGTCTGCCGGTTTGGGTTCCCGTTTGACACGTGAAAGGCTGGTGGCAGGCCTGCCTTGAGCAAGCCTACTGGTGCCCTGTTCACAACTCCTGCCCCATGTTGGTCACTCCCACAGTGTCCCGAACGTTTGGGTGACCCTTTGGCACACTCAACAGACTACAGTCTAGGGTCAGCGCGCCTTGCACGTCTGGAGAGAAGCATGCGACTTGATTTCTTGCGAGACCCGCTCTATGGCACGGGTCTGAAGGGAGCCCTCTCTCCCCCCAGGTCTGTCTGTACAGAGAAACGGGGTGTTTCCCCGAACCCCTTTCTGTGACATTCTCCGGGCTTCGCCTGGAAGAGGTCCTTTCCCAGCCACGGCTTCTCCTGGAGGCCTAATTTGTCCCTGGGTGGCGCCTGCTCCCTTCACTCGTCTAACTTCATCTTTTCCTCCATCTCCCCGCCTGTGGATTCTGTCACTGTGATGCTGCCCTTTCGGCCCTGTCCAGGGTTCTCCTCTCGTAATGCTGCCCTGGGGTCCACCATCAACATTCCTCTCTTTTGCTTTTGCCTCCCTCCCCTCCACCTCCTCTCCGCTCCTCTTCCTCCTTGGCACGGTTTGGCATTCCTCTGATTTGAGAAAATCACTGCTTCTCTTGTCTGTCTTTTATTGTCTGTCTGACCTGTCTTCCCCTAGTAGCGACGAGCACAAAAACAAAACAACAACCGGTCTCAGTGTTTTTGCAACTTGGAGATGTTTGTATGGTTTCCACTGGCGCCAACCCAGAGGAATTCACAAATGTTGGCTGCCAGTTTACTTTATTATTCTAATTAGCGTGGGCTCCTCATCGGAGGGGTTCATTAGCACCCTTGTTAATCTGTCTTCAGTCTGCCATTAGCAAACCCTGGAAGGGCTTGATGTGAAGGAGTTAGGTATTTCCTTTTGGCTTGGAGGACTGCCGGGTTCTGGATATTATGAGTGTTTCTCTCGTGTCCTCACAGTCCGTTTTGGCTTTCAATGGCATTACATTCCTTTCATCTGGTGAATAAACCATATGAACCACCCCCCCAATAAAAAAAAACATTTTAAAGGAAGCCAATGCTCTTTCAAACTCGGTCATTTATGTTCTCTCCGAGGGGTCAAGAACACGCTCAACTCAAAGCCAGCTCATAAGGGCCCTATAACAGAGAGCCGGATTGCTTCCTAGGGGTTCCGAGAGGTACATCTTGACGGGAGCAGACGGCTTCATCCTTCTTCTGCAGAGTGGCTGGCTGGTGGGTTGGAACTACCAGCCTTGCAGTTCACGGCCCCATGCTTAACCAACGTACCGCTCGGGTCCCTGAACAAGGCACGGTGACTACTTGTTAGACAATTAATTAGCCTCAGGTCTCCGAAGTCCTCAGAACTTTGAGTTATGAGTCCGCGTCAGCTTTGGAATCAGACTAGTACATGAGGCTTGGCTTAGCTTCTTGGTTGTGAGAGCTTAGCAGGTGGCCTCTCCTCTCCAGCCCTCCTCTGTCATGGGACAGCCCCGTCACACCGATCTCACAGGAGGGTTGTCAGCATGAACCTCGAAGTCTTGGCATAGTCCCCGACACTGTTACCCATGAAAATAAGTGCCCAGGGCCATGTTGTCAGGAGAGACCAGTCCCTGAAGAAGGACCTCATCATGCTCGGTAAAGTAGGAGGCCAGTGGAAAGGAGGCGCGTCCTTACGGACATGGTGCTGCCACCGTGGCTGCCACAGGGGCTCGAGCATAGGTACAGCAGCGCGGACTGGGCAGTGTTCTGTTCTGTTGGACCCAGAGTCGCTATGGGTCGGAACGGACGTGATAGCACCGAACCACCACAAGGCCACCACGAATGGCCATGGTGGGGGTTGGGGATGCGGGTGGGGAGCTGGGGCTTGGTTCAGCCACGAATGATGTGATGTCATTAATTGAGCCTTCATTGAGCACCCATTCATGGAACGATCCCTCTGTGGCAAATGCCCTTTGGGTAGTTAGTGGCGAAGAGGAGCGGGGTCCAAAGCACTGTGTGTCAGGCACATATTGTGCGTGAGCCTGACCGCCCCTGGGAGGACGGTGAGCGTGAATTGTCACGGAGAAACTGGACATCACAGTTCTTCAGATAGAGCTGGCTCTCAGGAAATTACAGGCGGGCGGGCGGGCGGGGGAGGGGGTCCCATACTGGCAGCCTTTGTGATGTAAGAAGGTGATGGTGTGAGCCAGGACTTTGCTAGGCCCTGCTCTCGCAGTAAGCCAGCACCTCTGGGACTCTGCCGAGATGTGTACAGCTGACGTACGGGTTGCAGGGATCAGGAAAGACTCGATTGAAGAGGAGACTTACTCCTGCCTGAGTAGAGAGGTAAACAGCTCCTCTCACCTACTGATGAGTCAGAGATGAGAGCAGAAGTCAAGCGCAGGAAAGGGCTGTGGAAGGCTCCGGGCTACTCTATGGACTGTGAACTTGGGTCTCTAAGCTGTGGGGAAACTGTCCTGGCGGTGGGTGGAGAGAGGTCAGGGAGGAGACTTAGCCACATCCAGGGTCACTGTGAGTCAGCATTGACCCTATGGCAGCGAGTCTGGTTTTAATGAGGAGGAGAGAGGAGCCCCCGCCCATCTCCCCTTTTCCCTCTTTGCCAGAATAACATTCCTTCGTTGCTCTCTTTGAAGGAAGTCTTTGCCAGCTCCTACTTGAGCCCAGAATTGACATGAAATAGATGCTCGCCCTCTGCACCCATAGTCCCACATCTCTACTGTAATATATATTGCCGTCGCTTATGTGCTTACTTGTCTGTTGCTTATCGCAGTTGCTTACGTACTTCTCTGTTGCCCAGAGTGAACTGTACTTGTCTGGATAGGTGCGTGTCTATCTTATACTTCCGTCCACTGAGCCTACATACTGACTGACTGACGTGTACTTGCTATTCTCTGCTTTCCCCTCAAATGAATAAGGAACAGAACACCGTCCCTGCCTTAAGGCAGTGGCCTGCTGTCCAGGTGTGGTCATGGATGAGGAAGTTAGAGTCAGAGCACAAGGAGTCGGAGACTTGAGAGTAGAGAGAAATGGAAATTGCCCATGGGATGCCCACTAGGGTGGAAATGTCTTCAGGTGGGGACAGACAGACTCTGAGAAGGGGAAGGATGAATAGGCCGGAAATAATGTATATCTATATATGCTTTGTTTGTTTTTTTTGCAAATAGACACAGCAGAACACATACCAATCAACCCTTTCTAGGCATGCTTACACTTTCGTGGCACTTGCCTTCTTCCGGTTGTGACATCGTTCTCAGCGCCTTTCCCAGATTATTCCTCCCCGTCACCATAGCTCCCTGCCCCCTAAGCTTCCTGTCCAACCTCTCACGTTTCTGTTGTCACTCTGATCCCGTGCAGACCTTTCTTTAAAAGCACAGCACTCAAGGCAGACGTCCTCCGCTCATTCCGCTCAGCCGTTCTTTGGCTGAAAGAAGACTGCAACGAACATGTTTGGTTAAGGCTTAAAGGTGATCTCAGGGCAGATTTCCGGTGGTTAGTCTAGCCTCAGTGACTCCAGGAAATCCCAGAAATTCTTCATCCCCCCAGCCCCCAACCACCTTGCCCTTTTGGCTAGGATTCTTTTATAGACTCTCTGATCAAAACAGTCAACAGTGTACTTGGGAAGGCAGTCTAAAGTCCTGGGGGTCCATCGTTCACAGCCTGGGTCACCCAGAGCTGAGTGGAAGCTAGATCCTAAGTGTCCATTGAGACCATGTCTGTACTACGATGGGTGGTCTCTATACTTAATGTTGAGTATTTTCCCCAACGGCAGGACCCCGCCTGGTTTACCCACCCACTCATGTGTGGTCACCTCCTCCTGGACAAACGTGCCCCCAACCCCTCCACTTCTTGACTTAGGTTTCCAATAAGGATCACTGATCACTCTTGTCGGAGAGGCTGTTCATCTGGGGGTGACCGTAGAATAATGTTCTATGGCAGGAACTGGTTGGTCTTCTCCATCTCCCTTTTGAGGGAGAGGGAACCATCCTTCATAGGCCACACCAGAAGGATCCGATTTGAAACTCCCACT